AGCACAGGAAGGAGGAGCTATATTGTCAGTCTGTCCCACGTGACCCGCAGCTTCTGCTGTTGCCAGAGCAGTGGCTCCTATGCTGCTATTGTAGTATGAATGGGAATATAAAGATTTTCATATATAGGTTTTTCCTTCTTGATTGTTCATATTCATATTTCTCTCGTTTTTATAGATTTATTCTTTAAGTAATCGTTTATTAGGATGTTAGAAAGGCCTGTTATATAGAAGGCTTTCCTCTTGTAGGTCTGATATTGTTAGCAGACAACATAATAGGTACAAAATTCATCATTCTGTAGTTCTTAGGGCAAACCTTTCAATGTCTGGGTCAGATAAGATTTTAGTCTCGTATGAAGATTCCTTGCCCAATATCTTTTAGGTTAGGTTAAGTAAAAACTTAGTTTGACATAGATATGTTTCTTTATATCTGGCCAATCAGAGGATTATTACTCAAATTACCACTATCTTTTGTAACCAATTATGCTGTTTGAATATTGTTTTCTTGATGATGTCAGTCCATGTATAAAATATCGTGTATTTCCTGAATGTGTTCAGAATATGCTCAAGAAGAAGATGAAGAAGAAAAAGAAGAAAGTTGTCAATTTTTGGTTAACTATGTGGTCTAATTGTTTTCCTATTAAAAGAGGCATGTTTCCTGATTATGCTGAGAAGAAAGCAGTCAGTTTTGATGGGTCCTTTGGCCTGTTTTCCATATGTCATTACAATAAAATACAAGAACTTCCTCCTCATTTGACTTCATTTTTGACATGGAATCTAATAGGTACAACACTATGGCAACACTGGAAGAAGTCCTGTATTGTCTTACCAGAAATCCAGGGAAATCGGAAAGTGCTAAAATTCTCTTCTTTGTTTAGTGGAACAACATCAAATGTACCCAAATGGTTACTGCTGCGTTCTTAGAGACAGCCCTGGCAGTAAACAACCAAGTTGGAAGTATTGTCTGCTGGGAGATGTGATATGGTAGGACAGGAGGTGAGAAGAAGAAGGAAGGAGATTTGGACTGGGCATCGGTTGCCCCGACCCGGAAGCCGCAGGCTAGCCCAATCTCATCAGTTCTCGGAAGCTGAGCGAGGTTGGCCCTGGTTACTACTTGTTTGAGAGACCACCAGGGCTTTTTTTGTCGAAAAAGCCCAGCAGGAACTCATTAGCATAATAGGCCACACCCAACAGCAGAAACTCATTAGCATATTAGGCCACACCCGGACAGTGCAGAACGTTAGCATATTAGGCCACACCCCCATGCCTTCCCTTGGCTTGCCCAGGTGCAAGTCGGTCTTGGACAGGCTGGGGAAGACTCCGAGTAAATGCCTCCCCGATCCTCCCCACCATGGCCTGCCCACCTTGGAGTCGCCCGGTGTGTGTGTGTGTCACTCTCCAGGCCTTCCCTCTGTAGCCACGCACGCAGAGGTTTTGGCTGTAGTGGGCGTGGCCAACTCTGAAGCCAGCTGGAACTCCGTTCCTGTGCGTTCCTGCCCAAAATTAGCCCTGGAGACCACCAAGGAAGTCTAGAGCTGCTCCACAGAAGCAGGCAATGAGAAACCACTTCTGAACCTCTCTTGCCTTGAGAACCTTACGGGGGGTGCTGTAAGTCGGCTGCGACCTGACTACACTTCCCATCAGCCCTGTCCTGGCTAGCCTCAGATCTCAGGAGCTAAGCAGGGTTGGCCCTGGCTAGTACTTGGATGGGAGACCACCGAGGAAGCCCATGGCTGCTATTCAAGGGCAAGCAATGGCAGACACCTCTGTTAGTCTCTTGCCTTGAAAACCCTATGGGGTTGCCGTAAGTTGGGCTGTGACTTGACCGCACTTTCCACCACCACATAGGCTGCCTTCCTGCGTGATCCTGTTTAAGATCTACAATACACCTAGTCTGTAACTTAAATTGTGTTGCTTGATACAACAGCCACATACACATCGTGAGCTGCTACTTGGTAAAAAGCAGGGCTATTTTGGGGCAGGAACGCACAGGAACGGAGTTCCGGCTGGCTCCCGAGTTGACCACGCCCAACAGGAACTCATTAGCATAACAGGCCACACCCAATAGCAGAAACTCATCAGGATTGGCTACATTAGGGGTGTGTGGCCTAACATGCAAAGGAGTTCCTGCTACAAAAAAAGCCCTGGGTTTTGACAACAAAAAAGGTAAACAGAATAAGAAGCAAAAGGTGGGTGTGGCTGGATGTCGACACTTCTGGTAACATGGGGGTGCAGCCTAATATGCTAATGAGCTATGCTCTCATGGGTGTGGCTGGATATGCTAATGAATTTCTGTTGTTGGGTGTGGCCTATTATGCTAATGAGTTCCTGCTGGGCTTTTTCTACAAAAAAAGCCCTGGTAAAAAGTCCTCTATGCATTAATAATAACAGTAGAGCATCCTGAACGTTATAGTGTGAAAATAACCCAATGCAGCTCCACAACAGGCGATTCATACAATTTCTATCTTTGACTTGCAGGTTCGCTGCCAACCTCATTTCTGGAGTCCTCGATTATAAAGCTCTGCTGGACACGTAAGCAATCCGTTTCTTGTGCATAGCATGAATCTGCATTTCAGTCGGAGCAGAAAGCCAGCCAGATTGTCTCAGAAGCAGTTTAAGGCCATGTTTACACTACAGAAGGAAACCGGTTTTGAACTGTGTTTTTGAGAAAGATCTCAGTAAAGCTCAAGCCCTGAATCTCTTGACAGGGGATGTTCTGTGGATTGTCTCCAATGCCTTGCCTCTGTCCTGGAAGCATGTGAGAAAACAATAAAAGACTATCTCTATTTGCTAAGTTCCTATGGCTTCCTGTATGGTTAAACATCACTAAAATAAATACATAAGAATAGCTCTATACAGTAGGCAGTTATGAATCTGCCATCTCTTCTTTTTAGAAGTCAGCCATCAGTCCCTACTCTCTCAAAAGGGTTTCACAGGACCAAACTACACATTACATCTGCCATGTGGTTGACATGGGGACTTAACAGCCATACAGAAGCTGCGAGTTCCCTGTGGGAACTCAGTTGAGATGCACTGCAGGGGCCCAGTTCTGGCTGGGACCACAGCATGGGTGGAGGAGGGCTTTGCCTTCCCACCGTTCCATTTCCCTGATCCAAAATGGCTCCGGTATGTGTTATTTGTCCCATCAGGGGGTGCACATGCCCTGCATTAGACAGAAGGCCACCAGAGGTCACCTGGCTGTAGTGCAGATATGGCCCAAACTGTGGGGTCTCTTTCAGGTCCACGTTATAAACAACCCAAGCACCGAGCAGCTTGGGCATCTTTTCATACCACAGCAGCCGGTGCATGTCAAACTGCCACCAGCCATGTATTTATACAATTCAATGCCTGTTAGCTTCGGCAGCACTTCTAGTCCACGAAAAATGCATCATTTCAGCAGCACATCCAGTCCATTAAATATGAAGGGCCTTCATCATTCCTGGGGCTCACATGCCTACGTGAGCCTTCATTGCAACAGTACATGCGCCTAACATGGCTGCTTCAGATCCGTCTGACCATTGTGTGTGTCGTTACCTTAGTAAAAGGTAAAGGTTCCCTTTGCTCAAAAGCCAGTCGAATCCGACTCTAGGGTTGCGGTGCTCATCTCCGTTTCAAAGCCGAAGAGCCAGCGCTGTCCGGAGACGTTTCAGTGGTCATGTGGCCGGCATGACTAAACACCAAGGTGCACGGAACGCTGTTACCTTCCCACCGAAGTGGTACCTATTTATCTACTTGCAATTTGTTGCTTTCGAACTGCTAGGTTGGCAGGAGCTGGAACTAGAGACGGGAGCTCACTCCGTCACGCGGCACACTCGGGTCTCAAACTGCTGAACTACCGACCTTCCACAGCCTGCAGTTCAGCTTCTTCACCACTTGAGCCACCGCACGGCACCAATTGTTGTGAGAAAATGTGTGTGGCTGGCACGTGTCTGTGAATGCGTCCACCCGTGCCACCCACACTCCCCCCTGGTTCGTGTGTCCCCTGAGTGTTGCCTCCTTACCAAAGGCAGAGGTGTACGCTTGGAAACCACTAAAGGCTGGCAGAGACACTCAAAGGTCTCTTCTTAAAATAAAACTTATCTTTATTAAAGAAAAACATTCAAAGATTTACCTGGCAAGGTGACCGGCAAGACGCTATGCCAGCTTGCCAACACAGTAGAATCCTATTTCCCAAATATTGATAGTAAATACGCAGAAAAATAAACATGCAAGCAAAGTATCCCACCCAAAGCATGCAGAAAACGAAAGGCCTTTCGGGCTGGCTCCGTTAGTTGTGTACTAAATCTGAAATCGCTCTCTCATCAGTAGTTCCTTAAGAAACATGTGCCCAGTAGCTGCATGCTGTAATGCTGATGAATTTTTCTTCTAAGCTGACTAGATAGGTGGACTTCGCCACCCTCCTCATCATCCCTATAACAAAGAAAACAGTCCTGTTAATTGAATTCTTATGCTACGTAGCCTTGTTTTAATCAAAAACTGCTACTACTTACAAAAGGGGGCCGCGGTGGCTCAGAGGTTAAGACGCTGAACTGCAGACTGGAAGGCCAGTCGTTTGGCAGCTCGAGACCCGAATGCCGCGTGACGGAGTGAGCTCCCGACTCTGGTCCCAGCTCCTGCCAGCCTAGCAGTTCGAAAGCAAGAAATTGCAGGTAGATAAATAGGTACCGCTTCGGTGGGAAGGTAACAGCATCCCATGCACCTCGGCATCTAGTCATGCTGGCCATATGACCACGTCTTCGGACATCTTCGGACAGCGCTGGCTCTTCAGCTTGGAAATGGAAATGAGCACCGCCCCCTAGAGTCGCATTCGACTGGCTTTCGAGCAAGGGAAACCTTTACCTTTACCTTTTACTACTTACAATCCTTTGGGAAGTTGGGGTGGAGACCCTGAGAACTATGTGGAAAAACACAGGTCTTCACGGTCCCCTTGCCATGTTCTGCCTTCAGTCTGCAAATCCATTTTGCCTTTTGAAAATGGACCTTGGTTGATCTGTCCAATATGGGATTATCAATTTTTAATCCCCTTCCCCAAATATGTAAGGGAGCACAAAAATCAGTTTCCATTGTGTAATGTATTCAGCCTGACATGCCCGGACTTGCCCGGGCTGGCCAGGCACAACTCTTCAATAGCTTCATGTCCAAAGACAATGGGTCCGTAGGATCGGAAAACACAGGTCTTCACGGTCCCCTTGCGAGGGTCTGCCTTCAGTCTGCAAATCCATTTTGCACTTTTCAGCCCCTGACATTCATGCTACCGGTTTGTTATTCCATATCTTTACATAGCTATCTAGATTGCCCTTTGAAAATGGACCTTGGCTGATCTGTCCAATATGGGATTACCAATTTCTTTAATCCCCTTCCCCAAATATGTAAGGGAGCACAAAAATCAGTTTCCATTGCAAATAAGGTACACAAGCCCGTGAGAAAGTATCCACAAAGGAAGTTTAATTTCTCCTTAGCCGTCAAATCTATTTGCAGACCTGTATTGAAATGACCGCATTGCTTGCAGAATGCTACAAATCTGGGCCAGTGTGGGTTTTTTTAACACAAAATGAATGCCCCGTGTTTTTTGTATCCTTTTAGAACTGCCCATAGCTTTAAAATGTACGTTGTATTAGATATATGGCTTTGCCGCCCCTCTCAGTAAGACACGTCAAATGCATGTCACAAAACCCAGACCTTCACTGTCCCCAAATGCCCTGACCCTTGCCCAGGACCCTTTCAGCTCATGTCAATGTAAATACTTACTGGTGCGTTGATAGATGGGGGGGGCGGGATGTATGCGTCAGTCTTTGTTTTGCATGCACTGCTGTTTGCGTTTTCAACACCCACCCACTGAATGCAAATAGAACTGCATAATGAAGTTATAAAGGCATGTCAAGAATCCTGTATATTTCAGTCTGAGTCTGGTAATCCATCTATTTCCCTCCACTGTAACCTTATTTTAGTATGATTCTATTTGTGTTGTATCTAACCTAATTGTCAACAGAACAAAGGACAGATTAGATTTCTTTTCCCTTCTGTCTACCTCCCTTTCTCTCTCTCTCCCTCTCTTCTCTCTCTTGCTTTGTCTCTCTTCTTCTGTTCCTCCAGCCATGCTGTACCTGTTGATTTTGCTCGTGGACAGCTGTCTGGTCATCCTCTCTGTATGAAGCAATACTATGGCCTCTTTTCTTCCTATCGTCTTCCAGGACATACCAAAGATACCCTCGTGGCCCAGAAAAACAATATCATGCCAGAACCGGAACATATTATTGTCGCTTGTAACAATCAGGTGGGTGGAGAGTAGAATTTTGTTCTGTCTTTCCGCGCAGTCATTTCAAAATTTTAATTCTGTGTTTCTCTTGAATTGACCAAGCAGGTCTTTGTGACGAAGGTGGTAGAATTGCGGGAGGGGGACCTTAATTCTTAACACACACAAAAAGTGGAAAGGATGAACAATGGGAACTCGCCCTGTTTTTCCACTCTTTGCAGCAGTCCCGTTTGCACGTTAATTCTTAACAAAAAAAAAAGTGGAAAGGATGAATAATGGGAACTTGACCTGTTTTTCCACTCTTTGCAGCAGTCCCGTTTGCACATGTACAATCTCTAAATTTGAATGACTGCCACATACCCTTCAACACTTGAGTAAAGCAGCACTCATGCAAATCAAATACGTGAGTCCTCCTGTGTTTTTGTGTGCATGGTGACCACTTAGGATCTAGACCTTGGTACACACGGAGAAGCTGTCCCCCTGTGCCATTTTTCCAGCCCAAAACATTCTTAGGGGGGTGCCAAAATAGGTTTCCCAAAATAGTTCCCCTTAGGACCAATGCTCCCTCTAAGCTGTGGAGTCTTGTGAGCAAAAGCCCTACTTTGTGAGCTACTGGCATTAAAGTTGCAAGTGAGTGATTTGGCTACTGCATAAATCAGTTGGCTCTGGAGCCATCCTTCCTGAGCTAAGACAAAAATGTGTGAGCTAGAGGCTAAAAAACGGTGAGCTAGCTCACACTAACTCAGCTTAGAGGAAACACTGCCTAGGACTGTTTCGGCTTGGGAAAAGCGAGCAGAAGGGACAACTGCAGCCCTTTCTCCAGGTGCTCCATGGTCCTGATTCTAACCAGGCACCCCATGTGCTGGAATTCAGGAGAACCTGCAACTCACTTGTGATTGTATTGCATAGGTATGACACAAGCTTGGGGACCCCAGGCCCAACTTGAGTACCTCATAATTTGTGAAAAGGCCACAGGGTCTCCACACCATGTTGCATCATGAGAGAAACACTGCAGGGAGGTGAGGGAAATCTGCCTTTTAACAGTTCCATGTACAAAGGAGCGTTCCCTTCATTGCTAAGCAATCCACGTTGACTACCTATCTCCGTAGGATCTGAGTGTTTAGCAGTTTCCACCATCAGCACAGCTAAGTGCTGCAGTTTTTTCCTGGGGAGTACCACATCAGTCTTGGTGGTGGTAAGTGAAAACCTCATAGAGTTTTCAAGGCGAGAGACAGACAGTGGGGGCCTGCCATTGCCTGCCTCTGCATAGCAACCCTGGACTTCCTTGGTGGTCTCCCATCCAAGCAGTAAGCAGGGCTGACCCAGCTTAGCTTTCAAGATCTGATGAGATCCAGCTTCCTGGCCCATCCAAGAGAGGGCTTACATGGCTCTTTTTGTAGCAGGAACTCCTTTGCATATTAGGTGACACCCCCCCAAGAGCTTACAGAGCTCTTCTTACAGGGGCTACTGTAAGCTCTTGGAGGATTGGCTACATTAGGGGTGTGTCACCTAATATGCAAAGGAGTTCCTGCTACAAAAAGAGCCCTTACCCACCTAAAAATGAATCCTCCTTTTGCCTTCTTCCTGCTGTACCATGTCCCTGCATGCTAGGGAATAGTTTCATGGGGAAGGGCTATAGCTTACCTCCCCAGCCTGCAATGGAAAGCCTTGATTCACCAGATCCTGCTGAGAAGTTTAACTGGGCCCCAGTCCCTCTAAATTAACCCAGGAGGTTCAGTGGTGGTCCATTCGTTTGTGATCTCTCTTCTCACTTGTGCCGCTTCCTCTGCAGTTTTTTGTTTTGGATGTTGTCATTAATTTCCGCCGTCTCAGTGAGGGGGATCTGTTCACCCAGTTGCAAAAGATAGTCAAAATGTCGGAGAGTGAAGAGGAGAGACTGCCTCCGATCGGTCTCCTGACATCTGATGGGAGGACAGAGTGGGCAGAAGCCCGGAAAATCCTTGTAGAAGGTAAGCAAAAACCACGTGTCCCAGAATCTGTCCATTGTTGTTGTTTTTTTCCTATTACCCTTCCATGTTTCAAAATGGGGGCTTTGAACCTCAGTTCCAAAGTGCTGGATTCAAGTCCAGTCGCACCTTAATGGCCAACCAGATTTTCAGGGTATAAGATTTGGAGAATCAAAGACCCTTTGTCACGGAGGGAGCTTTGACTCATCAAAAGCTCATACCCCCCCCCAAATCTCGTTGGCCTCTAAGTCACTACTGGACTCAAATGTAGCTCTTCTACAACATACCAAAATGGCTAACCTGAAACTCAGTTCAAAACTGACTCAGTACAATTTATTCAACAACTCGTGGTGTCAAAACACGTTTAAAATTCAGATCACAACAAAAACATTCAAAGCATATAGTATAAGCATCTAAAATGAAGGTCTGATAAACTTCTAATCACACAAAAGAAGCCTTTGGCCAAAAATATTACACCTAGTTGTCAGAACAGTATCATAAGCTTGTGTCTGAACTGTACGGCTTGTGGGCGAATCATACAACTAGACTTTAAAACCCCTGCATATAAAAAAAGGAGCTGTGAGGGAGAAACTTCTCCTTATCGTGACCTTCCCAGTTTTCTGTATAGCGGAAGGGGATTGGCATAGAGAAGCATTCACCCAATGGAGTTCCCAGTTGCAGTCTGAAGTGGAACAGTCTGTAAACAGAAAGATTTGCCATTTCTAATGGCTGGGAAAAGCAAATGTAGTTGATGTCCAGAAAACTGAACCTGTATCCATCTATACTTGAACAGTTTATAATAAGAACAACAATTATATAAATACTAGGAATAAGGCCCGTTGTGGAAATAAATATAATGAGCTCTAGAAAGAGACTCTGGGCAGGTGCCCTGGCCTTGGGCAAGCAGCGTAAATTCGCTGTGGTGACCTCAGCAGGGTATAATGACAAAGAGTCCACCATTCTCTCCAGGGGAACTGGTCTCTACCACCTGAAGAGCAGTTGTAATTCTGAATGATCTCCAGCCCTCACCTGGAGATTGGCAGCAATGGTTCCACAGGAGGAAAGGTACAGTCTTTCTCTGCAGTGGGGACCAAAGCAGCTCACATCATTCTCCTTTCCCCCTTTTGATCTGCACAACAACCTTGTGAGGTAGGTTAGGCTGAAAGTCTGACATAGAAAATCACCCACTCAGCTTCCACAGCAAGAACCAGGGTCTTGCAGGCCCTGCTCTGAAGTCCTAACTGCTACACCACACTGGCTGTTGTATCACCTAGTATCACAACTAAACTCCAGACAACAGATCTCTCTCTCCTCCTGGAGAAAATAACTGCTTTGGAAGGTGAACTCTATGGCATTTTATTTAGCTGAGGCCTCTTCCCTCCCCAAACTCTGGCTTCCGTAGACTCCACCACAAAATCTCCAGGAATTTCCCAACCCGGAGCTCCAGGAATTTCCCAACCCTAGTCAGGACTGGCCCCAATGAGTTCCCCACAAAGGTTAAAGTAGGCCTGGAAAGGGCCTTCCCCCCCCACACCCTTTTACTGACAGAACCAAGCTTGGTTGCCTAGCAACAGCCACTAAGGGGAAAGTGAGCCGCACAGCAGGGGGACAAGAGAATGGTTTGATGGCTGCTGGCCCACCTCAGTACCCAGCAAGCAGTAGAAGCATCTTCATCAGGAGGCACAGCTGTTTTGGCAGTTTGTTCTGAAAGGGAAATGGCCAAGCCAAGAGTGGGCAAGGGAGAGGAGTGGACCCAGCACATAGCCAATGGCACATAAGTACTCTTGAGTGGTGGTTGACGGGCCACTGGCTGATGGAGCACACAGCACAGCCAATGGGAGAGCTGGAAAGTGCCAATACATTGGGCTTTTCAAAATATATATATTACTAAATCAATGTTAATGGAACTTCTTCTCAATGTTATATATATATATTACTAAATCAATGTTAATGGAACTTCTTCTCAATGTTATATATATATATTACTAAATCAATGTTATGGAACTTCTTAGTGTTTTGTGAACAAATGGTACTGTTGCTAATACATGTACAGTGCAATCCTAAGAAGGTTTACTCAGATTCTAACTCAGGTCTATGCACTGGGGCTTACTCCCAGGAAAAAGTTCTTAGAATTCAGGGGCAGCATGGGAGGGAAAATTGGCCCTAGACAAAGGAGGGAGGGAGGGAAGGAAGGAGAAAGCCATGCCTCTACTTCATGGGGCTCAGCCAGGCACTCCCAACAGCTCTGCCAGGAACAGCCGTGGCCATCTTCATGGTATGCCATGTTTTGCTGGACATAGTATGTGCATGCACAGCTACAGAAGCCAGGAACCACTTACCCTGGGCTGGATATGGCTTGCCCACTTGTGAAGGCTGGAAGCTACCTTACCCAGGCCAGGCATGGCCTTTCTACCCTGGACCAGACTGGCCCAAGTGGGAAGAGGCAGCCCATCAGCCGTCCAGGAAATTCCCCAGTGGCTATAATAGCCAGTCCACCCTTGTTAGGGCCGCCCTGTTAGCTAGTTCTAAAGCCAGGTTTTTAATTTGTCTTGTCCAGTTGTACTGCACATTCATGTTTCTCTCTTTAAAAGATTTTGAAGGTTCAGATGTGATGCGTCTGGACAAAACCAGAGATGACAGGAGAGATCTGTCAGTAAAATTCTACGTGTCCTTTCCTTTACCTGCTCGGTACTTGTAATTTTCCCCCCCAGCCAGGTTAACAGAAGCATCAGGGAAGCGGGGAAATCAGCCAGAGGAAAGGGTTAAACAAGCCCTTCTTACACCACTTTCCTTACTGGATTAGCAGCTCCCTACCCACCCCCCATAGCTGGTAAAGGGAGAGTAAATACATAGACACATTGGAGGTCCAAGTATGAATTTCCTGCATTGGGTTTCTTTTGGTCCTTGCTTAATATGTCATGAATAAGGAATCTACTCCCTAAGATCTGTCTTTTTCCTCTGACGTCCAGAATGGGGTGGGATGGACTAGATACCCCCATCACCTTCAAAGGCCTCATCCAACCTTCTAAACCTGTCTCTCTCCAACCCTCACCTAAGGAAGCAGCACGACTGCCACAACTAGTAGTCACCAGCCATCCATGTTCATCCAGGGCTATTTTTGGGCAGGAACGCACAGGAACGGAGTTCCGGCTGGCTCCCAAGTTGACCACGCCCAGCAGGAACTCGTTAGCATAATAGGCCACACCCAATAGCAGAAACCCATTAGGATTGGCTACATTAGGGGTGTGTGGCCTAACATGCAAAGGAGTTCCTGCTACAAAAAAAGGCCCTGGGTGTTGACCACAAACAAGGTAAACAGAATAAGAAGCAAAAGGTGGGTGTGGCTGGATGACTATACTTCTGGCAACGTGGGGGTGCAGCCTAATATGCTAATGAGCTGTGCTATCGGGGGTGTGACCTAATATGCTAATGAGTTTCTGTTGCTGGGTGTGGCCTATTATGCTAATGAGTTCCTGCTGGGCTTTTTCTACAAAAAAAGCCTTGTGTTCATCCATCCATCCATCCATACATGTGTATATTAGCCATTTACCAAACAAAAGCCTAGAGAAATGGTCATCTCCTTGCTTGACGGCCATGACACTATGGTCCACTACACACACTACACTACACACAAAGACAACATCATTTTTTCCTTAGCTGACCCATTTCTATCCCAATTAGTTCCCCAGATGTATTATTTCTCCCCTTACTACGGTAGCCCTGTAGCTCTGATGTTTATACAGTGAGCGCAGGGCTTAAAGGGTTTTGCATATAACCGAAGAAGGTAAGCCCGGTTTGCTGTTTCACACCCTGTTGGTTTAGGGTTCTCCACGCCCGGCTGAGGTAGCCTATCTTTGGGATCAGAATGCAAAAATCGAGTCAGCTGCTTTCCTTTAACGAATGACGCCACACTGCTGACCCAGCAAGAGAAATGTCAAAGAGGCTGCATTCTGTCACGCAACGCTGCTTCC